AGTGCCTGGTAATGGGACCCAGATGTGGGCACAGCTCTGCTCGCTCTGCCCTGCGAATCTGCAGCCTTTGGTATTTCATCAGGGGTTGCTTATTATTTACAGAATGTAACTTGAGAGAGTAGAACAAATTTTTAGATTAAAAAAAAAAAATCAAGTGGTGAGGAATGTTTTTAGCTGTGCAGACCAAACAAAGCAGTTTGCCAAGGGGGTGATGGACTAAATCCATGCAGTTTAGGCTAGCAGCAGTGGCACTGGAGTGGAAAGATGCTGACCTTGTTATCCCTGGGCTGTTAACACCAGGATGGATGTTTGAGCATGGAGGAGCAGAGGGGACAGTAAGCACTGAACTCATACTCTGAAGTGTTTCTGCCATTTCAAAACAAACCAAAACCTAAACCCAACCACAACCAAACCCACAGCTTCTAGAAACCCACTGTGGTGCCCAGTACCTTTGTAGTACTGGTACTTTCTGGCCTGCTTTGACACCAGTAACAGTGTTTGCTGATGTTCTGGTTTCTATGGAGTAGGTCTGATGATGCACAGCCCTGTTCTTTCCTCAGTTTTGCAGTAGCTTTGCTTAGTGCTTCAGGTCTCTCTTCTCAGAGTGTGTCAGAGAAGATGGCACAGCTGAATGGGTAGCTGAGGCTCAGGTAAGGCCTGTTGCTCAGTGCTGCTGCCTAGGCCCATGGGGCACCACAGTTATATGACCTTCCTGGGTGTGTAATGGGAAGTGTCTCAGCAGAAAGTTATTGATTGGCCAATAGGTAATTAATAATTACCTTGTGCTGCAGTCAGTCACTCTTTAAACTTGTCAGTGGATGCTGCAGGTTCATAGAGAGGTTTCACAGCCAATAGGAGCTTCTTGGGTGATATTTTCAGTTATATTTTTCCATTTTCCTCCTCTGAGATTTTAGGAAGTCAGGCAGTGAATTACACTGCTTGGAATTCTTTGATTCCTTTGGAACTTTGCCTCAATATTTTGCATTTCATGGAGGCAAGGTCATACTTTTGTTTACTGCTTTGTAAGAATCAAGTAGGTAAAAACAGGTGTGTGTTTGTTCACCTCTGATGTGAACAAAAAGACAACAGTGCTGTGCCTGGGACAGGTGAATCCTGTGAAAGCAACCTAAGGGACAGGAGAGGTGACTGGCTCCAGGGCCATAGTCCTTAAAGTTCTAACCACTGCATAAAGTGTTGTCAAAAACTTGAAGGAAAGCAAATTTTAGAAGAGTTCTCAGGCTTCAGGTGTGGGACAGAGCTGCTGAGAGGGGAGGGAGAAAACACCTCCAGAACGTGGAGCCCAGAAGGCAAGTGCTCTGTGTGCTGATGCTGAACAGCTGCAAAGGTAAAGCTGATGTTCTTTTGCCCTGTCCCTGGATGAGAAGGGCTGGAAGCAGTTCCTCATGCAGGGCCATTACAGAGGGTTGGGATGGGAAGCAGAGAGCACTGACCAAAATGGAGTGTTTGGCTGGGAAATGAGTAGCAGCAGTAGCCTGGCAGAGGTATTAAACAGCAAGGAGCAGCCCCAGAGTGATGCTCTTGGGAAGGGGCAGGGAAGGGAGCAGGCTCAGCAGCCTGGAGTACAGCCCTTTGGGGTAGGGTGTGTCAGGAGCTTGGAGGAATTCAGAATATTATTTTTTAACAAAATACTGCTAAGGGAGGGACCAAATCTGCAGTTCAGTATCAGCCTCTGATGTCTGTCAGCCCAACATGTGTGTCTTGTTCACTGCTGCCATTTGTTAACAGGCACTCAGAAAGGTACAGTATGTTAAACCCTGCTGTGGAGGCTGATTTTTCTTTTGTCTTAACTTCACTACATGTTCCTATTGCCATAACCCTTCAGTTTTCTGCTGACACTGTCCCTCAGTGTGAGCTCTCTCGAGGTTGATGCACTCTTATTTTTTGTGTGAAGAAACAGTGAAATCAGTAAAACTCTGCTCATAAATAGATCCCAAAATCTGCACAGTGGAGTCAGTTTAGTTTATTCCTTCCTACTAATTCAGCCACTGCCCCTTCACTGTAGGAAACAACTGGCAGACACTTCTTTGAGCTGGAGAACCATACAACGGTGCCATGTCTTCCCGAGCGAATCTTACAGGCTCTACACGCTGCCTTTGTGGATTTTTGAAGGCTTTGTCACACCTCATATTTCATAATAGCAGGATAAATAGAACTTCGTGTGCTGACAGGTGTCAGTGGAAGGCCAAGGGCTGCACTGAGTCATATTTGTGTGTGTTTGGGTGCAGGACCCAGGCGGAGCGGGTGCGGAAGCCACGGTGCTGCAGGGGCCCCCAGGGGCTCCTGCCTCGCTACCTGGAGAGCCAAGCAGAGGGTCAGGAGCAGCTGTTCAAGCTGACAGACAACATCCAGGATGAATTGTGAGTACTGACTTGACACAGCTACTTTAAATCGTTCTGTTTGCTGCCATTGTGTCTTTGTGTCGCTGGGGACCAAAACTGCTTCACACACACACACACACACATTCAGTTCTGGAACTCCTCAGCACAAGGAGGACACTGAGGTGCTGGAGTATGTCCAGAGAAAGGGATGGAGCTGGGAAAGGGTCTGGAGCATCAGGCTCATGAGGAGCAGCTGAGGGAGCTGGAGAAAAGGAGGCTCAGGGGAGACCTTCTTGCTCTCTACAACTCCCTGCCAGGAGGTGCAGCCAGGTGGGATCAGCCTCTTCTCCCAGGTAAGCAGGGACAGGACAAGAGGAAATGGCCTCAGGCTGTACCACAGGTGGTTTAGATTAGGTATTAGGGGAAAATTTCTTCACCCAAAGGGTTGTCCAGCCCTGGCACAGGCTGCTCAGGGCAGTGGTGGAGTCACCATCCCTGGTGGGATTTAAAAGCCTTGTAGATGCGACACTTGGGGATGTAGTTTAGTGGTGGCCTTGGCAGTGCTGGGTTAAAGGTTGGATTCAGTGACCATAGAGGGCTTTTCCAACCTGTCAATTCCATGATTCTTGGATTAGGGTCTAAAGGCAGAATTCATTACTTCCCTGATCTCCCCCACAGTCACTGATGAGCTGTGTCAGTGCAGAGTGGCAGACACTGCTCAGTGTCTGTCACCCATCAGAGTATCTGCCAAGGCAGAGGGTCAGAGCTGCTGGTTGTGGAGCTCACAGAGGGAGGCACCAGTTCAGCAGTGGCACTGCTCAGGCTCTGAAGCACCA